CATTGGTATCAAAAATGCATGTCTGGTGTTTCTAACAACCCAATTCGTGTAAAAAATAAATAAAAAAATCTATGAACATTTGGATGAGTATCATGAATTTATTGGAGATATCACTGAGGGCTCCCGGTTCAAGATTGCGGGTGCATATTTCCAAACAGCGAGGCTTCCTCAAGATTACGTATGCGTCTGTAGGCTTCTTCTATGCATTACGGCAATAGAATACAACACTGCTACCCGCTGACAGCGGGACTGTACATTCTGGGCTCCAGCGTGCACTTTGACTCGTTTTCTAGCCGAAATACGGTATGTGACTAAATATGTCACACACATCCATTAAATATATTCGGCAGACTGTTGAACGCAGCATATGTAGAACATATGTGCTAATAAGTATATTATTGACGATATATGAAGAAAAACAAATGCCTCCTGTGTGAGGCCGCGCACCAATAACTGCATGCCTCAACTGATGTGTCCATGCTTGCTTGAAGCACAAAGGGAGTGATAATTCAGGTGACTCTTGCATCTGCTCAACCAATCAACTTTTTTGACTCCAACCCCTTGCTGCCGCCGAAGCAATGCATCCCAGGTGCATGGAAGCCCGCTCATCCCTCCATGGAAATGGCACCATCAACAGGGACACAGTGCTTCAACAGTGGTGGTGGGGGCTGTTTCGCAGCCTTGACCTGGTCGGGGAGCCTTATTATGAAGGTTTCCCGACCCGAATACTGTGAATGCTTTTTGATTACTCCAGTACCAACGATGTTGAAAATAAAGCAAAAAAAAAAAATACATTTGATATATATTTTAAAATATTTTTCTGGTCTTTTCTGTCAGATGGCTGTTTAATATCCATGGTTTTGGAATGCTGAAAAGAGTCTGAGAACCCTTAATACAAATCCAAAGCACAACACCTCCCACTCAATTTTTCGTCATGCAACAACTTGATCCTCTGCAGGGATGAGGATGATGAGGCCCCGCACGTCCCAGTGCAGTATAGTACCCTCAAGATCCTTCTGCTCAGATCCAGTTTTAGGGGCCGCAGGTTTTGGAGTTCTCACCTGAACACACCCACTCAGAGAGACTTTCACACGGACATCCCGGACAATGCCTTTGAGATCGTTGTTCACACTGATCTTGGCCAACTTGAACTGCCCCCCGAGGTGCAGTTTGGTCGCAGAGCCAAACTACGTCTCCAAAGGCAACATTCCTTTCTGCAGTATGCCACTTGCTGTGGACTAACACAGGTCTGGACATGCAAGTTTGATCTCGGATTTCCAGAAGTGACTAACTTGAGTTTGGATATCTTGCAGCTTTTGAAGGGGTAGGTGGTGTAGTCGAACACCTTGAAATTTCCACTTTGTGTAGCTTGACCAAGCAATAGGGTCAGATGCGACCTGAGGATGGCCTCGGACTTTGGTAAGCAGGTAGGAAGCTGTCTGTTGATAGTGTGTTTGACAATTTTACATGGATGGCTTGACTTGAAATTCAGCAGAAGCGTGACATCATCCTTCACTTCTCCAGCAACATTTTTCACTGATTTTTTTCAGCCACTCACTCTCAAGAAGCTGATTGTGGGCCCAACTGCCGGTTGGATCCCTCAGTTAGGTCATCACGACTGCCCCCCTGGTGATCATGTCTGCACTGTTTGCAGGCCCTGGAATCCACACCAGTCTCAAATGTCCTTGCTGCCCTGGATTTCACCAACTTGGTTCGCAAAGAGGTCTGGTAGCCATAACTTTCACGCTGCCTTGCTTCCAAGATGGTCTGGCTGTCGACAAGATTCGTCAGTGTTTCTGCAAGTGCTACTTCAGCCAGGTTGCAAAGACTGCTCTACACATCTCCGCTTTCACAGGGTCACTTTTGTGGTCAAGAGGGGTCAACTTAGCCTTGGACTCAACAAGCCTCACAACAACACCATTGCAGCAGCTCCATCTTAGATACAGCTCAGCGCCATGGTATGCTGCGTGCCTCTTCTCTGATGGCTTTTGATCCTAAAGTTTCTACAGAAATATAGTTTTTTCCTGTGCTTTGGAACACCACAATTGATGCAGCCTACTAGGGGTGTTCCCCCGGCAACATTTGCTCCGGTGCTGCGCCGGTGCTGCCACAGTAGAGCGTTCACATGTGCAAAGTTACACCAGTGTAGCCCCTGAAAACAGCCTAAACCGGAGCAAATTTAACCATGCTCAGGGAGGTGGTTTAAAAATTTGCTTCGGAGCAAATGCTCGTTTGCAGGGGGAGTAGCCTCGCTTCGCATGAGAAGAGTTGATTACATAGGCTAGAATGCGTTGCTTTCGCCCTCTGTTGTACTTCCGTCATCTTTCCTTTTGTAGGAGACTGGACTGTCTCGGAGTTGTTTGTGTAGTTTGTTCCTCTGTTGTGTGTTCACAACCCCCCCCATGTAATTTATTTTGTGATTTCCTCTCTTGATTTTCTGTTTGGCGCATTGTATGTTTGCTTTTCTGAGTGTCATTGAAGTCATCGTTGATTTACGTTTTCGGGGGCGGTCATTGAACGCCTCTCGAGCAGAAGTCACGGAGACCGAGAAGGAGAAGGACGTGCCTGTACAGTAGTTGCTTGAGTTGTGTATTGTTTTAAAAAGAACCAACACGACAGCTCTTCTTTTTCTATCGTTTTGCACCACTGCAGAAACTGCCGTGTGAACGCAAGTGGGGATGCACCGGGGTTAACACGCTCAGCGTCTTTGTACGTGTGAATGCTCCACAAAATTTGCTCCGGTGTAAGATATATCACAACAAAATACATCGGTGCAGCACCGGAGCAAATGTGTGCCGTGTGAACACCCCTACTGTTTCACTGCTGGACTTAGATATTTTTGTTTTGGGTTTAGGAACTTGGTCTTATCCTTGGTGGGTAAGACATCTTTCAGCTGCTCTAGCTGTTTATAGATGGACTCTTGTGATTTCAGGTACGCAATCAGCTTGTCAAAGTGGTTGTGCCTGTTAACACCATTCCTCTCAGCAACAGCATAGGTGAGCCACTTTTTCTTTCGACTCTCCGGGAGCTTTCCCTCAATGCACTTAGTCACTATTGGTTTCTGTATGACATCTGCATTATCCAATTCACTTCAATCATAAAGCGCCATTTCCACAGTTTGGATGAGCTCTATGACTTTTCTTGGCGGAGTTGCTTGAAACTCTTGAATTATCTAGAGCACATATGTCAAAGTGCCGGCCCGCGGGCCAAATCCGGCCCGCGAGAATGTTTTCAGTGGCCCCTGGGATGATATTGATTTATTATTAGAACCGGCCCGCGG